CTGTATTTTATAGTCAATCTGTCCCCAGAGGCATCCCACAAACAACCATGAAGGAAAAGAATAATTTTTATCACATGTCGGAATTATCACTGTCTCATTGACTGGACTAAAATAGACCTTCCCCACCCACGCCCGCCACGCCCGCTCGCACACCACTTGTTATGTATCATTTGCAAATTCCACCAGAAATGTGTAAATTAGTAATGACTTTGCAAATAGCTCAACCCCGGCAGCTGAACACTCTTCCATTGACTGTAAATTAACTGTAGCATTAGCTCCAATTAGTAAAGCTTTAAGGATACGGTGCCTGCAACTGCCAGCAAGACATCTTAGTGAGATCCAGTGCCCTTCACCGTTTCACGTTACATAGCCTGCAATCCTCTTATGGGTCGAAGAAATGGTAACGCGCGCGCACACACACACCCGTACGTAACTAGTGTAAAGGATCTAATTTGGGATGTACTTTTGTGGGGGCAAAAATAACTCCGTAACTTGCATGCGTTGTGGAGACCTGTGTAGCGTATTAGTTAGAGCACTCGCCTCGCAAGCGAGAGGACCTGGGTTCGATTCCTGGGCGGGGTAAAACCTTAGGCAAGTTTCCTTCTCCACACACCTCCAGCAGTAAGTAGGAACCCGGATGTTAGTCGATTGGTGAACGTTTTTTTTTAGGGATAATAATCCCTTCAAACAAATAATAATAATAATAATAATTTAATTGTTCAATCCACGACTATGTGTGAAAGTGCTGTGCGCAATTGGCTGCCGCGTTTCGCCCACCAAAATATACGGTCAATTCAATTTACAGTATATTCTGTGAAGCGCTTTGAGACGTCTCGACGATGTGATAAGGAGCTATATCAAAATGCAAGGATTATTATTATTATGAGTGAGTCAGGCAGTAAATGGTAAGTCGCTCTGCTGACCTCTTAATTGGAACGAGTTCACAGCTGAAGTTCACCATGTCGTAACTTTGCCTGGCACATATCAGAATCATTTCTAATGCAACCAGCACCGTAACATCTCTCGAGTTCATGTGATCTCTTCCTACTCCACTCCTGCGCTCATCCCCATCTACCCCCAACACTTGGCTGTCTCAGGGCTGTTGTGTGTCCCCTACCCTCTCTGCCCCACCATCAGTGACCGAGATTACAGCTACTTTTAACCATAATCTATGGAACTCTCTTCGTCTACTTCTCCGTCTGAACACCCCCACCCCAACCTCTCTATTTCTCATTAACCCCGGCTTTAAACCTATCTCCTGAACCATGCCTAAGGTCACCTCCTTTCCCTCCTCCATCTCTACCCTCTCTCTTGCTGAGTCACCTCGAATACATGATATAAGGCGCTCTATCAAAATGCAGGGATTGTTATTATGAGTGAGTTTCAGACGGTGAATTAATTGTTGGGCAGCTAACCTCTCTCAATGTCTGTTCCAGTCATCTGTAAAGCGCACAGAGATGAATGGCCTCCTTCTGTGCTGTAAATTTCTATGGTTCCACGAGATTGAAGGTTAAAGGCAACAGCTGTACATCACTGGCACATACACTGAATGTTTAATAACAGGAAATTAAACGTCCTGATAACTAATTATATTGCCCCGTGGACTCTACTGAACACTCTCACTTGAGCACTTCGTTCCTTTGTAACCTGGAGGGAGGTGGAACATAGGAACAAGTTGATTTACCAGCAAATCTGTGCTTACCAAGGAGTTCTACTATTTCCCTAAGCCTGTTGACTTCTAAAACTCCAAACTGTGATGCTTCAGAAAATTATCAGAGAGAGAGGAAGTTTGCTAACGGCAGATACTACAAAGCAACAGGAAACAGGCGCAGAACAGCTTAATGCTCATGGATAGTCATAGTCAGCTTCCTGAACTGTCAGCTATTATTAAACTGCATGATGTTCGCTCAAGTTAGATGACTCCATGCATTATCAATGTTATTTGCAATATAAGACTAACGTTTTGCCCATAGAATACACTGTTGCTACACTTTACAGTATATTCTGTGAAGTACGTGATAATAATAATCCTTGCACTTGATACAGCGCCTTATCGCGTCGTTGAGACGTCTCAAAGCGCTTCACAAAATATACCATAAAGTAAATTGACTGTGCATCTTGTGGGCGAAACATGGCAGGCAATTGCGTGCAGTAGCGTCCCACAGTGTCATGGACTGAGTAATGTCTTTGAGGTGTCTCAACAACGTGATAAGGCGCTACATCAAATGCAAGGATTATTATTATTAAAGTTGTGTTAAACAATAAGTCCCATTTTGAACATTTTCAGTGCCTGCTGGTAGGATAGTTTTTAATGCAGTTTAAAACCTCAGAGTAAGAGGAGAAGTTGGCAATGATTTTTGTTGATCTGGGACTAAAGCTCAGTGTACATTTTCCTGGTCGAAAACGTTTGGCCTGAGATCAATATTTGACTCATTGCTTTCACTCGGCCAACACCCAGACGGCTGTTTAAAGGTGATTTACAAAGAGTCCGGTGTCATTTCATATCACACAATGCCAATCACAGCAGCAAATGGACTCTTTAACAATTCTTAAGAGCAACTTTCCTTTCTGTTTTTCACTATTATTAATGGCGAAGAATATACAAGCAAACAGCTTATGATTAGGGTTTCTTATTTCTGGTTAGAATGAAACACTCAATAAAACTGATATCAGTGTTTATCCAGTTCCGGGGGGGGGGAGTGACAATCTATCTCTAGAATTTCCATGTATACGTGGGACGCATGGACCTCTCAGTTTATAATAATAATAATAATCCTTTATTATTTGATATAGCTCCTTATCAGGTCTTTGAAATGTTTCAAAGCTCTTCACAGAGTATACTGTAAGGTGAACTATATTTTGTGGGCGAAAAGCGGCAGCCAATTGCACCCAGCAGTGTCCCACAAACAATCGTGGAGGAATTCTTACCTCCAGAAAAGCGATCCGCCAATCAACTAGCAACCAGGTTCCTACTTATTACTAAGTAAACAGAGGCATGTGGAGCAAGGAATCTTGCCCAACGTTTCGCCCTGCCCAGGAATCGAACTCAGGTCTCCCGTTTGCAAGGCGAGTGCTCTAACCACTGAGCCACAGGACTACAGTTTGGTTTGGATACTCCTAAGCATGATGATGGGTTTCCGCATGTGTCCCAAAGTCGGGTTTTGGAGTGGGGTGGATGATGGAGGGGGCAAGGCAGAGGGACTTTGAGATGGATTCCCAGAGAGCAGAACAGAATGGCCGTGAGACCTCGCCCACCAATGACGGGGCACAGCGCTGAAAAAAAATTAAATCGTTATTAATAATAGTCCTTAGATTTAGTATTGCATATTGCTGAGTTCCAATGTTACCTCACTGACCCATGGGGACTGTACTCCGATGCGATATTTTCCGAAGCAGAGCTTGGGATTATTAACACATCAAAACTGTTATGCAACAGCACATATTTCACCCAGTTCATTTGTAATGAATGAATAATGTATATGCCAAAGTATTGAGTTGCTGTGACGAAAATTGAGGCTGTACATTGATTATGCCTATAAATTCTTTATGCCTGAATTCTGAAGCACTCGAGAGATTAACACTTGGCGTTGGCTTTATTCGTTCTTCGAGCATTTCGATACCACTTTCCAGTTTATTATTCCAAGGATGCTGTAAATTAGGAAAGACTGTGCTGCACAATTCCTCTGGTCTCCAAACTAATATTCAGTATCAGATTTTAATCAATTTTGGAACAGAAAAAAATGTGCAACTTAAAAACTATAAATGGCGAATACTTAACAAAAACAATATCGTTTTGGTCCCCAAATTCTTATTTAAGTGAAATTATACATATATTTCCAGTACTTTAGATAATTATTTGGGGGAGGACAAGTTTGCGTTTCGCCCACGAAATACACAGTCACTACACTCTATGCGCTGTATCCCGTGAAGCGCTTTGAGACGTCTCGAAGACCGTGATCGGGCGCTGGGTCAAACGCAAGGATTATCGTTATGATTATTATTACGATAATAATCCTTGCATTTGATACAGCGCCCGATCACGGTCTTCGAGAGGAGGTGAGGAGATGCCGATGATGATGGAGGAGGAGGTGATGATAATGGAGGAGGAGGACGTAAAGATGAGGTTGATGGAGGAGGTGAGGATGCTGGTGATGGAAGTGAGGATGATGATGAAGGAGGAGGAGGTGATGATGACGAAGGAGGAGGAAGTAAAGATGAGGTTGATGGAGGAGGTGAGGATCCTGGTGATGGAGGAGGAGGAGGTGATGATGATGAAGGATGAGGTTGATGGAGGAGGTGATGATGAAGGAGGAGGAAGGATGAGGTTGATGGAGGAGGTGAGGATGATGATGGAGGAGGTGATGATGATGGAGGAGGAGGAAGTAAGGATGAGGTTGATAGAGGAGGTGAGGATGATGATGAAGGAGGAGGTGATGATGATGAGGAAGGATGAGGTTGATGGAGGAGGTGAGGATGATGATGCAGGTGAGGATGATGATGAAGGAGGAGGAGGTGATGATGATGAGGGAGGAAGGATGAGGTTGATGGAGGTGAGGATGATGATGCAGGAGGAGGTGATGATGAAGGAGGAGGTGAGGAAAGGAGGAGGTGAGGATGATGATGAAGGAGGAGGTGATGATGAAGGAGGAGGTGAGGATGAAGGAGGAGGTGATGATGAAGGAGGTGACGATGATGATGATGGAGGAGGAGGAGGTGACGATGAAGGAGGTGACGATGATGATGATGGAGGAGGAGGAGGTGACGATGAAGGAGGTGACGATGATGATGATGGAGGAGGAGGAGGAGGTGAGGATGAAGGAGGAGGTGAGGATGAAGGGTGGCGTGAGGAGGGCGGAACGGTCGGCGGGCGGAACCTTGGCCGAGGGCCGCTCGGGGTGGTGGGGGGGGGTTAAAAAAAAAGGCGGAACCGTTAGAGCGGCGCGGGACAGGGACGCGGACCCGCCCGCCCGGCGCGAGCGGCAGCGTCGTCACTTCCGGCCGCCTCTCGTGCCCGCGGCCGCGCTCGGCTGTTGTGAGGTGTCCGGGCGTGTGTCGCCGTCTCCCCCTCTCTCTCTCTCTCTCTCTCCCGTTCTCTCTCCCGTTCTCCCATCCCATCCCCGCCCGTGTTTTCTCCTCCGCCTCGCGTTCATGGCCGCCCGCTCGGCTTAAAAGGCTTCTCACCGAGTGAGTAAAAAAAAACACACACACACACACGCGAGCGAGCGCGCGAACCCCCCCCCACACACACACACGCACGTCGTCGGTTGCGGGGTGAGGGAGTGTTGGGGGGGTGTTAAAAAAAATTCAAAATAAAACCGTCGGAGCGGCTCGCGACGACTTCATTCAGAGGGAGAAGGGGGCGGAGAGGGGGGGGGCGGTGAAGGGGGGTCGGGGGGGGGGGGGAGAGGAGAGGGGGGGATTCGCTCTCAGAAGGAAAGAGGGGAGAGCGCGAGGCCAACCTAACTTGCTGCTGCTGCTACGGCTGCTGCTTTGTCTGACTGGCGGCAGCGGCGGCCCAATCAGATGGCGCGGGGCGGCGGGCCGTCAGGCCGAGCCGACCAATCGGCGCCTCGGGAGAGGGCGGGTCCAGCCCCGGCCCGGTCCAGCAGGGTTGGTTGCGCCTGTGCCGCCGCCGCCTCTGGTTTGCCCACTCGGCTCTCACTGTGAGTGGGTGTGTGTGTGTGTGAGTGAGTGAGTGAGTGTGAGCGCGAGTGAGTGAGTGAGTGTGAGCGCGAGTGAGTGAGTGAGTGTGAGCGCGAGTGAGTGAGTGTGAGCGCGAGTGTGAGCGCGAGTGTGTGTGTGTGTGTGAGTGACTGAGCGCGAGTGTGTGAGTGAGTGTGAACCTGTGTGTGTGTGAATGAGTGTGAACGTGTGTGAGCGTGAGTGTGTGAATGTGTGTGAGTGTGCACGTGTGTGAGTGAGTGAGTGTGAGCCCGTGCGAGAGTTTATGTGTGTGTGTGTGTGTGTCAAGTGGTCCCCCCCCCCCCCCCAAGGCTTCAGCTCTCAATACAGACACAGCAGAGCAGTAGCTGAGTGCACTCTCTCTCTCTCTCTCTCTCTCTCCTCCTCGCAGCCGAGCCCCGCAAACAGCTTAAAGATTATCCAAAACAGCTCGTTCCGCCCGCAAAACACACACAGTCACTCCACTTTGCAGCGCATCCCGTCAAGGCGCTTTGAGACGTCTCGAAGACGTGGCAAGGTGCTGCGTCGGATGCAAAGATTATTATTATTTATTCCTCCTTCCGAGATTCAAGGACGGACGTACCGCACCTTTAATGTTGTCGGATGTCGTTAGCGGTCCCTGCCTTGACCGGCGAGGGCAAAGAACAGAAAGTAGAAACAATGCTGAGAGTTAATATTGTGTTGCCGGCACCTGAAAGGGAATTGGCTGGAGGGAGAGGGTAGGGTGGAATCTTCTTGTGTGACCTTGTACGTGAAGAGAGGTTTGCTTAAATGTAAATGAGAAACAGTTTGGATTGGATGCTTCGGTGTAGTGCTGGAGATGTGCTGCGTTGCCGTCTTTTGGTTGAGACCTGAAACCGAGGTCTTGTCTGCCAGTTCAGGTGCATGTTGAAGATTTCGGGGCACTGTTCAAAAACAGAAGTTTCTCCTGGTTTCCTGGCCAGTAATCTCCCAAATAAAATTGGTCACTCATTTCATGGCTGTTTGCAAGACATTGCTGTGCACAAATTGGTTGCTACATCCACCCAAAAAATAGTTTCGCAATTACACTACAGTTTATCCTGTATGTCCTCCAGACGAAAGGCGTTATAGCAAATGTAAAGATTATCATTACTCAACTGAAACATCTGGAGTTTTGCAATCAAGTACTAAAAATTCTCAATCTGATTATTCCTGTTACACACTGGCTTATTCATGAATAGGAAGGTAAAAGAAGGCATTTAGCTGTCATAAACTGTTGACGCTATATAAAATGCGAGGATTATTATTATCTTGAAATGATAGTTTTTCATTTAGCATCAACCGACGTGAAACATGCCCTGTGCAACTGAATGTTACTTGGTGGTAATGAAGCTGACTGGTATTTGGTTCTGTATCCTCGTAAGTAAACATTTTCAGGCTTCAAATCTCGCCTTCCAAAAAATCTTGGTATTATTCCGAAAAGTATACAGTCACCAATTCAATCATGGTTCTTGACTAGGTCGCTTCCATTAAAGGCTTTTAGATAGAAATCTTTATTTATATGAACTTAAATTTAGAGACCATTTGTTAAGGCTGGTCTCAAATTATTTCCACATTGCTAAGATGTTTCAGTTTGAGAAATGTCCTGCTGGATCAGAATGAAGAGCAAATTAAAGTTTAGGCTTGGAGTGAAGTTTTGTTTTCATTCCACAGAAGAAAATTGGCCTGTGTGAGGAGAGGGATTTTTTTTTGTTTGTTTGTTTGTGTTATTGATGTGAAGGGTCTGGTGGTGTTACACACTGTTGAACTGTATTTCATATCTTCTCAGTGATATCTAGGGATAATTGGATTTCACAATGCTGCTGCTGTGAGTCACTTGTAAAGTCATGTTGTATTTCACTGAATTTTGAGATCTAATAGCTTCTGTGAGGGTGACTTCAGGGCTTTTCACAACTGAGTCTGATGTCACCTGACATTGCGAAGGATGTAGAACAGGAACTTTCTTTTTCTTCCCTCTAACTCCCCTCTCCGTTTCCCCTTCCTGACCTAGTGGTGAAACGCCTGCTCGGGCTGGGAGCTAACTCAATGCAAAGTTGAGATTTTAACCTTAAATCCAATACTTTTGCTGAAACTTGTGAACTTTGAATATGAACAGGACAGGGATTGGGTGTTGCTCCTTTTGCATTGTTCGCTGAGGGACTCTGCTGCACCGGGCCGGTAAAGGTAATTTTTCAAGTGATTATGCTGAAACTTCCTTCAATTTACACCAGTGGTAATCTTGTCAACAAGATTTTGTACTTAAAATCTATTTCAATGTTTCACATCTAATTTGTTTTCCAAAATAGATTGTATAGTTTGGGAAATAAAATTTAGATCAGACATGTTTTAGGTTAGCTCCTTCCCCCGATCGAGAAGTTGTCAAGATTTCTGTCAATGAAGCTTTCAAACCTGCCTCCAAGGCAAAGGGGTTGGCAAAAATTATTTGGGTACAGTGATTTTGTTTGCCTGGTTGTAAATAGGGTTCTGCAGAATGAATCTGGATTTTGCACACTCATATTGTTACTTGTGGTTTGGTTCCAGATAACTGCTTTGTTATTCAGATCCAGCACTGGGCTTGATATTGTCCTGCCTATAGCTGTTTTAGTCAGTTTCCCAATCATATTGCTCCATTTTTAACCTCACATATTGTAGGTTCTTTCTGACCGAAAAATGTGACTTGAGTTCCAGCTGAGTTCCCCAGACTGTGATCAGGAACCGTCGGTTTTCTCGCATCTCATTCAGGTGCACAGATGCCAATTCCAGCATCTTAGGTAAATTTATAATCTTACATTGCATTACAACAATAACTTCCATTACACAGGACAGTGTCTCGAGCGCTTAACAGTGACTGCGCCCGATGCCAAGCCAGGGGCTGGGGGATGTTGACCTTAGGCACGGTCGAAGAGGAAGGTCTTCAAGCGTGAACTGAAAATTGGGAGGGGGGGGAACGAGGAGGAGGGATTGAGGGAGAGCGTTCCACAGCTTCGGGGCGTAGTGGCTGAAAGCACGGCTGCTGATGGTGGGGGGGGGGGTGAGTCCGGGCGACAAGGAGGAGGCCAGAGCGAGTCGAGTGGAGAAAGTGGGTAGGGAGAGCAGTTTGGAGAGATGGGGTTGGGGGGAGGGTAGTCGGGGCGTCTAGGGATTTAAATACAAGAGTGAGAATCTTGAAATACAAATTATGGTATGATAGTATCACACTATGTCGTGCACTTGGCCACTGAGTTATCAAAGACATCTTCAGATGCTGTAGTCTGTTTCTGCTTGAGAAGGACCTTTTTCCTTCAACAAACTTAGTTGATCACACCATCTTTCAGTATTTGTACATATGGATGCTATCTGGTTGCAGATCTTGAATTTTAAGCTTCCCCAAATGGTGGAGAACTGGGCATAATTTGTAACATCTTTCACTTGTAAAATGTCACTATTGATCTTTAATCCTGGAGGATATGTTTTGTTTACTATACTCTTCCTATCTCTTTCGTGTCCTTTGCTACTTTGAGATTGTTATTTAAGAGTTGAGTGTTTCTTTCGTATGTTTCCTATCCAATCCTGATGTTGGTTCCATTATTGTTGATTCTGGCAATGGAAATGCCTCTGTGGTTCTTGGTGGGTTAAAGTTCACTTTGAATTGTGTTATTGATCTGTAGATATCTGCAGCTTTTATTGACTGTATGATTCTTGTAGGATCGAGGCAAGTGGCAAGACGCCAGTTCTGTCAGGAACTTAGTTACTGTTAAAATGATTCCTCCATTAATGATCATATTATTGTGATGTTGCTAAGAATGAGCCTCAGTGAAAGATTAATGTATTTACAGCTTTCCTAGAATATGTTCCAGGTACATGCTTCAGTTAGTTTTGCTAACCTCCGTGCACATTTTGTGAGAGTCTCTCCAGTGCATAATTTATTGAAGGTGTTGAACAGATCACTTAACCACTCGCGTCATTATTAAGTGCTCTTAGGTAAATTTATAATCTTACACTCGAGTGTCTCTGCGTCTAAATTCCAATGCTTCCAAGTGTGAATCCTCTCCTCAACAGTGTCAACTGATGTTTCCATTTGTCGCACCAGTGTCTGTCTCTGGTGAAATGAACAGATTTTAGGCAGTTTTGCGCTGCGGACCTGCACGTGGAGGAAAAAAACTGGGTTGAAACTGCTGACAATTTGTTTCATGTGATCCACTGGAAGAAGTTTTGCATTGGATTGGGGTACATTCAAATTCAGGTCTCGGCTGTGAAAGGTTAATATTTTAGTGGTGTAGAGTAAAATCGGGAGTACAATTACACAATTGGCTGTCGCTTTTCACCCCCCAAGTATCGCCAATTCACTTCACAGTATAATTCTGTGAAGTTCTTTGAGACATCGCAATAAATAGCAGAATACTGAAATAGGATTTTAGATTTTTAATGTTGCTACGTTGTGGTTTCCGTTAAAATAATATTTAGACATTGCTTTTTAATCTAGACATGAAAGATACTATGTAAGGATTATCATCACAGTCTAA